CCGATTCTTCACTATCAATAACTGTATCGATAGAAAAGTAATCCATTTCTAGTGCTTGAAATCCACTTACTATTAGTGAGTTTATTGTGTCAGCTCGGTTATTTGTAGTTGTTAAAATAACGCGTTCGCATAACCATTCACTATTCAGATTTTTCAAATTCCCAATATCTTGATTCTTGGTACACACTTTGTATCAGTTGTTCCAACGAATTTGTCGATGCTGCTAGTTTTTTTTACATTTCGATAAGAAATGTATTATTATTTTTAGTCAGTGTTTTCTATACAACTCATTAAATATTATATAGCCTCGGAACAATTCATAAACACACAAAAAAAAAGGTCAGAGTACAGGTAGACGGAAACCTTCGGACCGCCGTGCCGTACCGTATTTCCCGTTATCGGCCGACTGCTATTGTTATTATTATTATTATACATTATTACAAATTACACGTAAAAAATTATTTTTRCCAATTTCAACCCTTTAAAATCAAAATTTTGAAAATCGGGCGATGTGGTGACACTCACAAAGGTATTTGGAACAAATTTGTGAAAAAAAATTGGAAAAAAGTTAAATAGCGTCGTCACAAAATTGGTACATAAAAAAGGCCTGTTCTTTTATATATATAAGGATTAAACGTTTTACCACGTACGTACCTATATACTATATTGTAGGTACTTATAAAGCTGATATATACATATACTCTATAGGTTTATTACGTTCATAACTACACAATATGAATTTATCGCCGACATATTATGAATATATTAGTCTTTTTCGTTATTTTATTTTTTTTATAATCAGGTAATTACTTATTTTTACACGACTCTGGCTGAGTGATAAACTCTACTGATAAGATAACTGCCCCTCATCGTAGCTTTCAAATTATCGTTTAACTATATTATATGCACCATATTTTATACTACTGTTACCTACTTTTATCAAATGCATTGTTCGTATACTTTATCTTACTATAGGTGAAAATTATCACAATTACTTTTTTATCAATTTTAATAAGTACGTGTAGCAGTGTAGGGCGTAGGTAGTATATTAATTATTATGTATTATCATTTATTTTTGTTTTAAGACTGTTCTATGTATGCATGGGTCAGCGTTAATGGAACTTTAAAAAAGAATACCCCTGTCTGGCAATTCTAAATTTTATATGATTTTAGAAGAAATCATATTCATATCTTTCACAATTTTATGGGTTGGTTTGGAGCTGTTCTACAAGGCATGTCTCGTTTCGGCCAAAATTGACCTTTTCCATTTCACCCAGATATCCATTTCAACCAAAAGCATTTCAGTCGTTCTAAAATTAAGTTGGCAATCGTTATTAAATAATATAATGTTTGTTAATTCTTAGCATAATATGTAAAAAAAATACATATTATACAATCATAATCTATATCTATATAAAATGTAAAATGGCTCGGCAGATTTGGCTCCAATTTTTTTAAAAAGTTTTTCGTAATTGCTAGGAAAAGGTTTTTACGAAAGAACATTTTGGGAAAACATTTATTTTTTTTTTGGAATATTTTGAAATTACCCATTAATATCTTAATAATTAATTTAAATATTTTTTGTTTATTATAAGCTTGCTATTGGTTATATAATTTAGTATGGATGAATAAGAAATAAGCAATTTGTTATTAGGCAGTAGGCACCAATTTAAAAATAAATGTTTACCTTTACAAAGCTAAAATTGGAAGAAACTATTATGATTAAATGTAACTATAGTGTTGTACTTTATATGACTGTGTTAAAAATCTTTAATTGAAACTAAGAGGACGCCACACCCGCATGTGTTGTCTTCGTCTTACAAACGTATAACATAGCAAAATCTGTTTAGCGGGGGACAACTTTACTCCCTTTGTATTTATAGTAGAAATACCAAAATTCCACAACGCTTAGGTAAGAACTTTATCTGTGTCATAGCGTCGTTATTTTTTTGATAACATAAATATAATTAAAGTTTTAAGCTTAATAAAATACATTTATTTTTTATTTTTTSATTAAATTACATAAAATTATTTGTTTGCGCTATCAAAAAAATAACGACGCCATGACACAGATTAAGTTCTTACCTATGCGTTGTGAAATTTTGAAAATTCTATTATAAATATTGAGGGAGAAAAGTTGTCCCACGCTAAACAGATTTTGCCATGTTATACGTTTGTAAGACGGAGACAACACATGCGGGTGTGGCGTCCTCTTAAGATAAGTKAAATCCACTGGAATTGTCACAGSAAGTTTTGAACATCGCTTGCTACCTCGTTATTAAACGACGAATTAACATCAATTTTGAACCATAAAGAGTTGGTATTTTTAACRGGAAACGAAGTGCGTGGATATCAGCTAGTTATTATATAAATATATAATCATATATAGAAGTAGTGCTTTAAAAATGCATAAAAAGCTTATAAAAAGTCGTTAAAAATACAAAATATATATTTTTTAATTTCTACAGATGCTTTTTACAAACTCATATCTATAGTAATTTTAGTAATAATACAAATTTCCAATTATTATTATCTACTAAAAACAACGAGAAGGTAAAACCAAAATTGATTACAGTATTATACTATACTATATTACAGCATTTCCCAAATTCTTGTTTGGGCTTGCGCGGTGATTAATATTTTTCACCTTCCTGACCCACCAAAAGAATTTATACTATGCGTCATACAATTAGGGKTTTTCATGAAGCCTAGTTGATAATCTCAATAATTATWATTTATTGTGTAAATAATAGTTATTCGTATTAATGAATTTATTTTAACTTAAAAGTTCAAATTATCAAACGGAATGATAAATAACAAATTTAATATGAGAATTTCATTGAATTCTGCGATCCGGTATTAAATTTYCATTRCCCGGTAGTGTGTTGCGACCCACTATTTGGGAAATACTGCTATATTATAGAACACTCGTAGTTGCTGTGATCGCATACTATAATCATTCGATCACAAATTAATGACACGATAGTTAAGTAGGTAATATGAAGGAGTTCCCAAATATAAATGTGAAAAATCCTTATGGTCGTATAGTCGATGTGAATATTGCATAATGCATTTCATTTGAATAATTTTTAGTAGACAATTATAATTGAAAATGTAAAATAATAATAATAATATATTGAACTGTGTTATGATTTTTATTTGAATAGTTTTTAATGGACAATAATAACTTGTTATAGGTAACTGTAAATGATGTAAACATAATGTAATGTGAATTTTTCAAAAACTTTTTTGAAAACCAAAAATATATTTTAAGGACAAAAAGTAATAATATATTATATTATTTAATGACCATTACCTACTGAATATTAAGATGAATTAAATTTCTTTTGTCGAAACATGAAAGATCGATTTTGGGTGAAACGGGTCCCGCCCGTTTTATACATATAGTAGGTATCTTTCGGCGTAATGAATTGGCTCCCCAACACAGGTAGTCAATATTTTACCCTTTATAGTATAGTTTATYATTTAAAGTAYCTTTGAATTTGATATTTAATATTGAATTGGGTCCCTTGTATTTTTTTCGAAAATATATTTGTTGTTACCAAAGTGTTGTAAATATTTTAAAGTTAGGTAGACATTATGTCTTACAGTAGTTTACGTCAGTATGATTCTTAATAATACACATGGTTTAYGGTATCACATTGGGCATGGCCCAGTTGCACCTAAAACAACATTTGTAATTCAGGTCAGTATATAAATTGTGCTGCTTAAATTTTAGGAAATTTTTTATTAATAAAAATTTTCATAAAAGTATATATACTAAATGATGTATTGTAGAATAATATTATAATAGTAAGTTATTACATTTTTATGAATAAGTAATAAGAATTATTTAAGTTCATTATGTAATTTTTTTATTGACTGAAAAAATCTATTTATTAATACACTTTTACTCGTTATAGTGTCTGAACACTACAGTGACAACCCATATCTACTAGTGTACACATAGTAACAACATACCTTAAACATWCAACTATACAAGTAGGTATTAGTCACGGTACTACGTATTTTGGGGTCCTGGGCAATATTTTTGGTGAGGCCCTGAATTTTTTTTCTTTGCGTGTCATATAATTATTAATAACAAATAAGTAGACATGGAGTCMTATTGACCATGGGGCCCCGGACATTTGCACTAATTGCCCACCCTCGAACTACTCTATACAATGACGCGTGGCAAACCTACAGTTTTTCGGAGGCCAGACTAATATACCTATCATTTATTCACCACCCACCCACTCAAAACACCATAAAGAAATTTACTTAATGGCGTGTCCAGGGGGAGGGGTTAAGGGATTTGTAAACCCCCCGAAAATTATTAAATGTTTAATTCATAATTAATAACATTAAAAATATAATAATAAACACACAAAATTCAACATAATTTAATGTTATATTTTTTTATTCACCTCCCCCTAACAAAAACAAAAAAAAAGCTAGATACACCACTGAATTTAATTTCATATTAATACTARATTATTACTTATTAGCTAAGTATAAATAACTAAATAATCACCCACAACCATTTAAAAAAACTCAAAAGTGGCAGCCTTTCAATTATAGCTCCTTCGCCACGTCAATGACTATATACCTATAATACTAATACACCTAGTATATATGTATAAAAAAAATGTATTTAATAGAAATGAATTCAGGATACGATGAATAGATAAATAAATACAAATCTTAATACAGTGAAATCTCCTTTAACGGACACCTCTCAATTGCGGACACCTCCAAATAACAGACGGAATTTTGGGAACGGTGAAATGTGTACTCACTGTATTTCCCCTCTTAATAGCGGACGACGTTTAAGCGACCGAGAGTGTCCGGTATTTAGAGGTTTCACTGTAGTATTATAACAATTACCTGTTAGTAAATTCGACGTTTTATTTTACGTCATGTAAAAAAATATAACATTAATGATAATAAAAAATAATATTTATTTCATATTATTTTATTATATTGTGTATACATTTTACTGCGCATATACTAATACACTATAATAGATATTATATAAATATTATAAATTGTATAATATGTGCATAAAGTAACAGGCGATTTATCTATTGCAAACTGTATAATATAATAGGCAGATGAGCCTACGTATATAATGTATACTGTAGTAATAAAATGTATTTTTGGAATATCACTGGGCGTCTTCTGTAGCAGCAGGTTTATCGGAAAACGGATATGAAGTTGAACCACCTCAAAAACAACAAGAAAAATATGACGAGTATGAGCAATGACACTAGATACAGGATTTGAGTGGACACTGGATTTTCGATGTTGACCACCACCGGTTTGCAGTACGACTGAAGCCCCATCTGAAAGAATTCAAAACCATGGCACGTTCCCGTGTTATTATTTTTAATTATAGAAATATATAATTATTGTAATATTTGATGCTTACATGATGTGATTTTGAAAAACAGTTAACTTGGAAGGAAATGGAGAGGGGAGAGGTTGTGTCGAAAAATACATCAATATGAATAGCATAATACCTATAAACTCGAAATAAAAACTTAAACTAAAAACTTCGTTTTTTATAGTGTTTACTGTTTAAATTTAATCATTCCTATAGTTTAATTGTCGAGTCTTGACTATAAGTCTACGCCCCATGGCTTTTGATAGTATAATACATTAATTTATATTTAAAAACATTTCTATAAATATTTCAAAACTAATTATCATCTATTTGAAAACTTTTTAAAAACTTCAAACTAGGTAGGTATACTTTTTTTTGGAGAAGAATATTATTGAAAAATAAAAACGTCAATTACGATCAGAAAACGTAATTTTTCATGTGCTATTTATGTAAGACAGTTATTTGTAGTAACAAACGCTTATCTTGATTGTTTCAATGTATTCCATTTCCGTCATCAAGTCGTCTGTTAATAGGACAATTGATGTAACCCCCACTTTTTACGAAATCGATGTTTTGATTGAATTGAATTATATAGATATAAATACACATTTTGGCCAAATATTGTAACCCTCACAAGCATTTTTCTAACCTAAAATTCACTTATAAATTATTTTTTTTGATGTAAGCCACATCAACAATCAAATGTCAAATAACGTAAGCCACGAGGGTTACCCTAAATTGTGTATTCACATCTAAAATAATAGTACATGTAATAATGACGTTTAGCACACGTCGTGTTAATGACCGACCGGGACTCCGGACTAGTAGAGTCGATGGTGGATAGAGAGACAGGCTAGAGTCGGRAGTCGATAGTTGGACAACAACCCGAAGATGGCCCGCGGACGACCACCTCAACCCACATCGGATATCGACACCCAAGACACACCATGGCCCGATCGGTAACTCTCAGTTATAATTTATAGGTATGCCTAACATACATATTATTAATTGATGTTTGATATACCTATTATAATTTATAAGACTCGATGTTGTAGTAATAATAATACATAAATATTTAATAACAGTTACACATAGTCATTCGGAGAATCATCAACGTAGAGAAAGTTGTGAACAACACGTCTGTACAATTAATATAAACAATTAATATTATTTAATATTATTTAAATGACGTGTACAGTTCAATAATGTTTTTGAATTTATTTCAGTAATAATAATGTTTTTATAGTAATTATATTATGAAATAAAATATATGGTTGGTAATACATAATGCGTACCTAGTATTAGGCTAATATAAGTTGTTCTATACTAATATTTATACACCTAAAACAGGAAAGATGTAAACAAATTATTTAACTCTGTATAAGAAACTAAATAAAACAAGAGAACTGATTTTATGTTTTGGTGAACATGTATTTGCAAAAAGGATAACTCCAGTAAAACCGCCATGAAACAGTGATTAATACTCCAGAGGATAACATAATAATATTATTAATTATCATTTTGAAAATATTCTGATGGTAGATATTAATTTTGTAGTATTTGATAATAGCCATTAACCCACCTATACTTTTTTTCTAGAAATATAAAAATAATAATAATATAACTGGATATAAGAGTTTCGTACAAATTTAATCGAAATAAATAGGTAATTTACTAACTATTATTAATATTTATTTTATTTATACTTTTTTTTTAGTCAAGTTTTTATAAGATTATGCTAAAAATTATGTAAAAAAAGAAGATGTGATACTCATTGATGTGACTGTATAAGATAACCCTAACCTAACCGAAGTGCCGTGCCATAAATCTATTAACCATGATCGGGTGATTAACTAATTATATTATCATAATAATAATATAAGAAAGAATGTTATAATTATCACAAATTCGATAAATTTTGTCGATGTGGCACATCAGACTATTCTGTTTTATTCTGTAATTAAATTCTGATAAGAATTACTGATATTTAACATACTATTGTGTTGGATATTCAATATTTTAATTTTTTTTTTAAATTATGTAAGTACCTATACCAATTATTAACGACTGTCGGTTATAATTGCTAAAACATAGTTGTAGGCTATAGCCCTACGCTACCAATGAAAATTCATCAACAATTCAAAATGCCTACTTATTATATGTTTAAAAGTATTTGACTACAAATGAAATTATTTACTTTGATACATTTATATTATGATATTATTCCCACATTTTTTTAATACATATTATTTTTATAATAACATATCTGACTGTACGTAACGACYGATGAATCACGCTAGGAAAATGTATTGGGTGACAGGTATACATTTTMTCTAAGTTGTAATTTGTAAGTAGATACCCGATAAATAACTAATGAATCTACCACAGACAATATAATATTATGTGTTTGTAACAAATTATGTACTATAATAAAAATATGACTAACAGTCGCAGTGTGTAAGATTAGATCTTAACCTATCTATGTTCTATAATAAATATCGTCATCATCAGTAATAATAATTAATAATAGTAATAATGAACAATAATAATAATAATAATTAAGAAATCAGTATCATTAGTCAGTGGTTTTATGGAGGTAAGTAGTTTACCTATATAGTCTATAGGTATACCTAACTATATAAAGTGTATAACTATATATGGCACGGGTACACTCTTGTTGTTCAATGCCACCAATTAATTTTCTCCCGGAAGTATATAGGTACATGGGTGTATGCATATTATATATAATATATAATAATATTGAAAATTATATATTTATACTGTCTTATAATACGGGTACTTGAAAATATATTGTAACAATTATTTAGGTATTAGGTAGTATTTGGACTAAAAACAGTTTTAACTTCTGTTTAGTGTTGCACTTGATAGAACATATTTTGTACGAAGCTATTAGCTAATAACACAATACTATTTAAATAGTTAGTAGTTACCTATGTACGAGTGTACGACTTAGGTATAAGTTAAGACTTTGACTTATTAAATAACAATTTATTTAGGTATAAATGCATAATACATCGTAGTTTACACTCCTATTTCCTATTTATGAAAATATTTTTTATTTTAAAATATTATAAAGTCAGTAGGTACCTATCTATTATGAAAATGATTAATTAGACTAGAATACCTACGTTAGAATAGAGTTTAATTTATATTAGGTATAATATGCTAAGCCTACTCTAAAACTGATGACTGATAACTCCAAATAACTCAATGATTTATTCTCATCAATATTTTTCTATTTATAAATAAAAAGTAGCAAAATTAGCACTTAATGATCATTATTTGATTAAAATTATAAAAGATATAATAATTATGTTTAATTTATTGACATTGATTATAGATAGTACATTTAAATTTTAGGATTAAACAAAAATAAAGTTTAAAGTAGTAAAATTTTTGGTTTTGTTATCGTCGTGAGATAATAATCATTATCAGTGGATTTAAAATAACGTACTTATTTTTTTTGTCTAATGTTAACCCGTAGTCAACAACTCGGCGTCGCTAAAYGGTAGTGTGGACTTAACTCTGTTACGCTGAATAACTTCTGCTGCCGATGGTTATTATTTAATAGCATTATCGAATAAGATCGCGCGGGCGACCGCGTTTTAGTCGTCTTTGAGGTAGTGGACGTATGTGTAAGTTGAAGTGCATTGAGCCAGTTGATTTTTGGAGTGAACTATAGAAATTTTCTGCTAGAGCTTTTATATGATCTTGAATTTTTATGATTCGGATTTTGAAAATATCAACAGTTAGTTTAT